GTAAATCCACTGAAATATTTTGAATGACGAACTGAAGCGATCGATGACAAACTTCATGAGAAGGTGAAAATACTTTACGAGCAAAATCTTACTTCATGGCATATATAGAATACTGAGAAAGATAAAATTATAAGAATGAGGCTAAGAGAATTACCAGTTGCAAGAACAAGGCGACCCTTGGCAAACGTCTTGAGGAAGAGTGAAAGCGAATCGATATTGAATTATATCACCATTTATTAAACTTGATGCCAGAAAGTCTGCAAAAGTTTTTCTGCAGGCGAAAGGTGATTAATTTTCTTGATGTCTTTTTTTATTTGCTAAATAAAATGCAATATTTGTCTACTTATTCTTACACTTGTTGTGTCTGCATTTTATAATTATTCAGTAATATAAAAGAACTATAGCGAAAAGCTATCACTTCGAATTGTGAATCAATTGAAAAATAAGTGAATACTCATTGATGAATTCAGAAAAGAAAATTCACTCTACTGAAGTCTATTTATAGACATTGATTATGTAATTGAGAAGATCAGAAAAAAAATCGTATTGCTAATAAACAAATTGAGTTTTTATTTTGTTAAAACTAATGAAATGACAATAATTTTTAACATATTAATATATAGTTTTATAGCAGTATGAAAAACAAAATAAAAATAAATATTATTATAATTTCAAATAAACATTGATTCAGTTAATTTCATTTATATCTGCTTTTGTTGTTATGTGTTTTATCTATCATAGATAAGCAAGTAATGGGGGTGTGGGTGTGAGTGGCGGTTGAGAGAAGATGGACACACCCACACCCTGCATATCTCGAAAATTCATCTGATGATGGTCTGACGAAAAATAAATAAACTATTTGCTGTGTAATGGCTTCCTTTCTATTTTCATACTCAAATTCTGACTTCACACTCTAGGAGATTAAAAGGATTTCAATTCATCAAAAGTACTCTTTCTTTAATTGTATAGAAACGTGTTTAAACAAAATAAGAAAAATAATTCAAACATAAAATAAATACTTAGGAGATGATTATTATTATATAAAAAAGAAGTGGATCAAAAAAACAGAATAATTTGATACAACAATAAACTAATCAAAATAGTTTTATGTCGACGTTTGACCGAGGTAATCTTGACGAGATCGTATCTCAAGAATGGCTCCATCGATTGAACTGAAAGTTATGGTGGATCAATATATCAATGAGGGTGTGCGGGAAAAATGTCGAAAGAGAAAAACATCGAAAAAAATGGGGGAAAAATGTCGAAAGGAAAAATATCGAAGGGGAGAAATATCGAAAAGGAAAAATGTCGAAAGAAAAAATGTCGAAAGGAAAAAATGTCGAAAGAAAAAATATAGAAGAGGAAAAATGTCGAAGGGTGTGGGTGTGTGGGTGGGTGTGGGTGTGTGGGTGGGTGTGGGGTGTGGGTGTGGATATCAATCGTGTGAGCACTCACATCAACATCCACACCCTATGCCTACCTACATAGGATACCCATTGAGAGTCTATGGGTATCCCATTATAGTAGGCCTTGGCGCCTTCCCCTTATAGCCTTATTTGACCTTTAACCTTTGACCCAGCACAGACACACACTGAACATTATATATATAGATTCTTGTAAAAGAAAACTAAAAATATGGTTCATGATAGTACATGAATTGATATTGATCACACCAACGTTTTATATCCTCGCCCATGACCGGTTTGCCTGTAAAGAAGACACTGGTTCTTCGATGTTCAGCTTTAAATTTGGCAAATAACAGTGACTATTGTGGTCTACCCAAAATTGTTTTTGTTCTCATTTTAGTGAGAATATCACGATTTGATACATTCTCATAGATATTAGCAGCAAAATCAAATGGAGCATAGCCAATCATTCCTTGATTATTGCTTTTCAATGATGTAAAATAGAAATGAAAGTCAATATACCGTTTTGGAGTGGTATTGTTGGCTCGTAATGTTTCAAGATAAGTTAATTGTTCATTTTCGAAGTCATTCAATAATTGTAAAAACCAAGAAAAGTTTTCGACATCACGATTTACCCAAATAAAATCTACTTTTTGTAATTTACGCTGTTGAATAGCTTCATGATTGTAATTCACATGACGACATTTCCCGCAAACTGTTTGTTGTTCTCGAAAATAGTACATTAAACATTCGAGAGCACTTGCATATGGAGTAATGCCTAAAGAAAAATAATGAATAGAAAAACATATTTCGAACAATCACATTGTACAATATATCAAATGAATCAAAATAAAGCATCAACACGATCATAAATTGTGCTTTAAGTATACTGTATGAAAATTTTGATGATTTTTTAATCATAAACGCTTTTCAGAGAGTATGTCAGTTATTTAAATGAAACTTACGTAAGTATTTTTCTGACATTTCATCTTCAATAAAACTATCAATAGGTTGGATTTGAATCGAAGACATTGATCAAGTCTGCTCTTTTTCAACCGATAGATCTTGTATGATCCCTTGGACTGTCAGTTGAAATAACACGATTAATTTAAATATTTTATTTTGAGAGCAAAGAAATCGATCGATTGCCGACATCAAGTAAACCTGCCCCATCCTCTCTCCCTCAGAACAAAAGATTATGATCTTCTCTTTTGAAAACTCACATCGCTCTTTCAAACGTGACCTTCTATTCCAAGCTATTTTCTTTTGCTAACATTTACCTATAAAACCAATGATTTTTGAAAATCTGTTCTAGTATTCAAACAAGCGCTTTTAGCAAATGCCGAAAAAAACAAGTATTTTTGCTAACAAAAACACATTTCTACTACAAAAAAAAAAAAAAGTAATTCTAATTTAAAAAAATTGGTTTCTTATGTGATAAAATTCAAAAAATTTACTGAATTTCTGAAAAACTATAGCCTTCTATTACGTCTTTATGCAATTCCTCTTGTAGATGGCCTTCTAATCAGAGTGATCTTTAAATATAAGATAATCTTTTACTTTGCAAGCAGTATCTGAAAATTCCATATTTATACAACATGACTAAGATCAATGAATTTCATAGTTAGAAACAAGAATGAAGATATTTAGTTGAATACAACCAGACGAATTTGAATTTCACAGAAAACAATTGTCTGTCTTGAGTTTTGCCGTCTGAATTATTACAGACATATCGGTTTTTTATTTCTTTTTCAATCTTCCATAATCTCTACAAAAATTTCGTATGCTAATCACATTATTTTCTTCTTCAGTTCTAGATCTTGACTTATGCTACAAATTTGTTCTTCAACAGAATCATAGAAGGCAAATGCGTGTGTTAATATTTACTGTTTTTGAAAATTATTCAAGATTGAAAAATAACTTGAATTGAGTGTACAAATCAAAGTATCAATAAAAAAAAACTTTTCGAAAATCGTACACTTTTATATTTCAATAAGAGAAAATCGATAAATGTCAGTTCAACTCTAGTATTTAAAAACCTCACTTGGAAAAAATATAGAAAAGCTTTTTCTCTTTTGATCTAATGAAATTTCGATAGTAGTTGAGGAGGTATTATCCCTATTCAATTAGAACATTTTCAATAGTTCTTATTAATATTTTAGCATCTTGAATATATATGATACAATCAAATGTATGACTCAAGTTAAGGAGTTGGAAATATTTCTTTGCTATCAAGAGTAGAAGAAGTTGTGTTCAACCAATTGAGTAAAAGTTGGGAATAGTCCTAATAAATACTGTCATATAATATTTGTACATACCGATGCCTGCTCCAATTAGAACAACATGTTCACAATTGAACATATAGGATGTTGAACTGCTATAAGGTCCCTCAATCCAAATGGATTCAGTACTGTTCAATTGATGAGGATAATTCACTTCAGGAGTAGGCATGTTGGTGGTCACTGATGCGGTCGGTACTGTAAAAGTTTCGTCGTGTACATTTTGACGTTCCCACACTCGATAAAAATGATTATATACTTTTCGTGTCCAATTCTTCGTTTTCCTCATATGAATTCGTAGAATATCCTTATTTTCTGGACAGCTCGAAATTGTGAACGGATGCCATTGAAGTGAAGCTGAAATAAATGAACATTAATATTATTTATCTTGATCAGCAATGAATTTTATCGTTACCTATCTGATGAAAACAAACACAAACATAGTCGCCTACGTTAAAATCAAAATATGCAGGTCTCTGAATGATAAATGATATTGTACTATCGTCTTCAATTTTAAATGATTTCAAATGTGTTCGACCGTTTTTTGGCAAATAACGTTTTAGTAAATAGATTTTTTCACACATATATAAAAACATGGGTCCACATGTCCATTTCCAAAATTCTCTTGAATGAATAACAAGAAGTACGAAGATGGGCCAGAAGAGCAAATGCGTATAGTGGAAAAACATATAAAATCCTTCACGTTGACGGATGCATTGCAATGAAAAAATAATCATCAAAGAAAATAACACAAAAAGAATATTGCCAGTTATAGCAGCCGATCCATCAACCCAACCTTGCTGTCGAGCAGTCGTAAACATTGATTGAAAAAATGAATAACCTAAACGAGAGTTCAGAAAAATTCAACGTAGTAAACATGTCTAATTCGCTTATGTATAGAAAGATAATTTAAAAACGAATGAAGAATTCCAAGAACAGTTTCATTCGAGAGTAACATTTCAAGTATACAATTTGTTTCTGGAATTATCATCCTATACTAACACATCCATCACCGTCGTTCTTGCGTAGACTATGTCATCTCATGAAATTGATTCGAATAAACATGTATCTACAGAAGACACTATTCATATAATCTGAAGAAAGAAGCAAATCGGTGAAGTGTTGAAGGTTGTATAATAAATTTGGAAAAGTCATAACATATCTGAACATAATTAGAAAAAGAACATGTACGTGATAAGAAGCTGTGTCATAATGAGGATGTGGGTGAGTGTGGGTGTGGGTATAGATGCGGGTGTGTGGATGTGGATGGGTGTGGGTGGGTGTGTGAGTGTAGCTATGGATGTAGATGTGGATGTGGGTGTGAGTGGGTGTGGGTGTAGATGTGGGTGTGTAGGTGTGTGAATGCGGGTGTGGGCGTAGACGTGGGTGTGTGGGTAGGTGTAGCTGTGGCTGTGGGTGTAGATGTGAGTGTGGATGTGTGGATGTGAGTGTTGGTCTTCTCTGAATTCCCGCCAACATTAACACTCACTCCAGACGCGTCCATATCCAAATTTCTTATTTTTACGCTTTGATCCAGCTCGTCCTTGTTTTTGTAGTTCACAAAAAGTATACTTTTTAAAAAATGCAGCTCTAGTGATTAATTTATCAAATGAAAAGTCTTTGACCGATTAGAATTGGTTTTTAAACCTAAATTTTTCTGAACTTACCCTGCGCATTTGTAGCATAGTTTATTATGTGAGCTAATGAATGAACGACAATGTAGAACCCCAATGCACCACCGACATAGCGATGAGCATCAATATGATCGTCCACAGGTAGAAAGCGTCTCAACCATCGATTTGCTCGTATTAATACCATACAATGTTTGAGCATGAGTATAATCGAAAGGACATAGTTAAGTGTGATCGAATGCCCAGCCATACGCGCAAGAATTAGCCAGACATTTCGATTTTGTTCCTTAACAATCAATTTAATTATCACAGAAATATCTAAACCAATTGTGGCTAGTATGTATACAAGAATAATGAGAATATGATATTTGTTGTTTTTTCTCCATGCTTGCCATTTTAATTTATCAACTTGATCATCATTATTTGGAATGTTGATAAGTTGAAGAGATTCTAATGAGTTTGGTGTTTCTTGAAGAATTGTATAGAACTGATCAAAATTCATTTGACGATTAGCATTGTGCATTCGAAATGTTTGAAGAAATGTATCAATCAATTCTTGATGACGTGAGGAATCATGAGGAAAACGAAATTCAATAAGATAGGTTTCGTAAAATTCCCCTATTTCTTCAACAGACACATGTTTATCACCGTTACGATCGAATGTTTTGAATAGAATGAGGGCTTTGACTGATATAGATGCCATGGAAAGTACACGAGCAATACGAATAACACGCTTGCCATTGATTGAATTCCCTTGAATACATGCCGTCTCTCCAAATATGTCAAGCAAGCGTTCTCCTAAAGAGATACAAAATTATTCTCGGAAAAAATTCAATTTTATTTTACCATGTGTCTTCGTCAATTGAAAGAGTTTATAAAATTCTTCAATTGTAAATTCCTTGTTACTTATATCACCATTAAAGTGTTTGAGAAAAATATGATAATCACGATCCGGTATTTTTTCATTGAGCAACTCTTGTAAGTGATGTTCAGCATAATCTGCTACGTTTTGCCTGTTCGCATTAGTTGATTGCCGTCTGAATATATACAAAAACAAGGTAATCAAAAGTAAATATAATTCATTTTTATTTCGAGACTACAGCAACAATTACCGTAATGATGCTAATCGAAGGATAGAAATTCTAAACAGTAAAATATCAGTTACAATAATTGTTAGTTTTACAAGAAAGAAAAGTTGTCTCACATAGATAACAATGACGATTTGGTTTCATTTGGAATTAACGTTTGATTTGTTAGTACCTGTAACACAAGGTAGATGATAAAAGTCATTAGTTTATTATTGATTTCGTCTGAGAACATGTTTACCTGTTGTGGTGAACGTCTATCTGCTGGCTTTGGTGTAACATCTAGATCTATCACAACATCTATGCTATTTTCATTGGATATTGTTCGTTGGAGTAATTTTCGTTCCGACAGTATATTTGATGAAATAGCTGTTGGTAAAGATATCGCTGTTGTATGTTCAGATGATTGGTTTGCATTTTCAGAACTTATTAAAACAGAAGGGTTACATGACTTTTGGCTTAGACCCAAATTCCTCTCATTAATCTCCCTAAAAACCCAAAATCCTATGAAAAGTTAGTACAACCCGTAGTGCTTAGCGGCATGCATCTTCATTGAGATGTAGTACCCAGAAGAATGACGTAGTGCTAAGCAGAACATTTACTATAGTGCCATCTAAATTTATAACGCTTAACATTGCGTCATCTTGCTGAACAGAACCCTAGAACTGGTTTGCTCTGAATGCATGCTACTGGTAAGCACTTTGAATGAAAATGAATACTGTTGAATACTATGTTGTCCTTCTAACGAGGGAACGTTTTCAACTGCCAGATCACTTTTGGGTTCGGACTCTGTACATAAGGTAGATCCTAGTGAGGTGTGAAAATCCCCAAAAGAATAAGTGCCCATAGGTCTTCTGTCCAGAGTTATAGGTATTTAACTGGAATTTTAGCCTCTACCATGGTGCATACCAACAAATTGAACGATGGTATTTCGATCTGAGATTTTGTCCGCAGATAGGTCT